TAGCGAAGATCCTGATGAGCTTGGGAGGAGACTGTGGGTATGGGGACCTGGGGAGCTCCTGGGGCATGGGGAGAAGGTGCTGGACAGCAGGAGCAACTTTGGGAAGTGCTGCTTGTAAAAACCTGCAGGGGAGGGGCAGGGATGCTGCAGAGGACACCATGGTGCCTTGAGGTGTTTGGGCATGAAGTGCCAGGCAGATCCCTTGGGGCTTGGGATTTGCAAAGCAGGTCATGGTGGGTATGGGGACCTGGGGAGCTCCTGGGGCATGGGGAGAAGGTGCTGGACAGCAGGAGCAACTTTGGGAAGTGCTGCTTGTAAAAACCTGCAGGGGAGGGGCAGGGATGCTGCAGAGGACACCATGGTGCCTTGAGGTGTTTGGGCATGAAGTGCCAGGCAGATCCCTTGGGGCTTGGGATTTGCAAAGCAGGTCATGGTGTAATTACCTCTCGGGAGGGAGGATTTCCTCTCTCGGGTTCAAGGAAGGGCACCTACAACTTTGAACCCTGCAATAACTCGAGGTGGCACCAGGCCATGAATTTCCATCAAAGGGAGCCACCGCCACGCTGACCTTTCTCTTCTGGGCTGGGCATTTCTAGGCAGATGAGCTATTCTGTGTCGGACCCTCCAGCAGCTACCAGCTCCCCTCCTGGGAGCAGCCCCGCTTGCCAAGCTATGAGAGCGTGCGGAAGAAAGATCGCCAGCGAGAAATCCACCAGATGATTGCCGAGCGGTTTGGGCTGTGGGCAGAGCCTTCCCAGGAGGTGAGCTCCTCCTCCCCTGCACCAGGGTGCTGCAGAGGCCCAGGGGCAGACTCCCCCCCCCTCCAGTCCGTATCTGGGTCTTGCTTCAGCAATTTGCAGTAGTGAAGGACTCTGTTCTCTGCGATTGCCTTTCTCCGATAGCCTTTATCTCTGGGAAGGGCACGAAGTGTACTGGGAGGCTCCTTTTGTGTACATCTGTGCTGGTTAATCATCGATCTCTCTTGGTGGGTTTGCAGAAATGCCTGTGCCAGGAGGCGGGGTAGAACTGCTGCTGAAAGGGCAGGCCCTTTGGATCATCTGCTCGGTACAAGCCCAAGCTGGGAATTTTATTTTTAGATCTGTAAGGCTTCCACGGTTTCTTGTTCCCTTCTCCCTGCAGGACACCTTTGGGAGGCCCCTCGCTATCACCTTGAAGTGTTTATGGCTTATTTATGTTTATGGCTTATTTGCCTGTTATGACATTTAAGATGTGCGCTAGAGAAAAGCGGGTGCATCTGCCAAGTAGGTGCTGAGGCAGCGGCCTGAGAGGCTCCTGTCGAACAGAGAGACCTCTCATTCACGGAATCCCAGAATGGTGAGGGTTGGA